GAATAGCTCTTTATACAAGATGCTCAGAAGCATCCTTTCAGAGAAGGGGATATGTGGGCAGAAACCTGAAGAAGGGCAGAGCGGGAGCCATGCTCACAAATGGGCAAAGTGTTCAGGGAGAGGAAACAGCGGTACAGAGACCCTGCGGTGGCAGCACACGTCTGCCCTGTCTGGGGAGAGCAAGGAGCCTCAGGTGGCTGACACAGAGGAAGACAGGAACCGTGGAGGGAAATGAGATCAGAGAAGCAATGCAGAGTTGGATCATGTCAGTCATGCGGAGGACTTCGGCTCTTATCCAGAGTGACATGGGAAGCTAACGGAGGGTTCTGAACAGAAAAGAAATTTAACCTCATTGGTGTTTTTGAATGAAAATTCTGGCTGCTGTGCTGAGCGCAGAGGGAAGAGGGCCAGGGTGAACACAGGAAGACTGACCAGGTGATTGTAATGTTCAAGATAAGACATGGTGCCTTGGACCCAAGTGGTGGAAGTAGAGGTGGGGAGTCGTTGTTGGATTCTGGCCTATTGTGGACGCAGATCCACCAGGATTTGCTGATGGGAGGGATGTGGGACATGACAGAGAACAGTCAAAGATGACTATAGAATGTTTCACCTGAGGAGACTGGAATTCATGCATATTATCTTTCATTACCAAAATTGGAAGTATATTTCCTCCTACAGGTGGCTCTGAGACTTTCCTTGGCTCTCAGAGCTTTGGCTGATATCTTAAACATTTTGAGCCAGTCTGTGCTTTAACTGGAATGTATGGCACCTTATTTAACCTCATGGTTTTACCTTTCTTTTCAGCTCTAATAACCATAAATGCCCGTACATGTGCAAGCAGAATGCGGGCTAAATGAACATAACATACCACTTCTTCCACAGTGGCAGGACCTTTTGACCTCAGGCGAAGTGTCTCCCTTCCGGTACCAATTTTTCCTGTTGAGGTATTTCCAGCTTTGGACCTTGGCTCTATTTCTGTAGAGATAAAATAGATGGGGAAAGGTGCATATATTTAGAAAGAATTCCAACAGATTGCTGTAAAAGCTAAAGTATTTGCCATCACAAAACTATATACAATGATTGTAGAAATTTGATAAAAGGTATGTGTCCTTACAGAATTTCCCCAAACAAATTCACCTGCCATTCAGGAGTCTCAGATGGGAGTCTCTAAGAGAGGTCTGGCTACAAAAGGAAAAGGAAAATATTTGAAATGTACAGATGGGAAAGACTGGAAGCTATGAGGAATAAATAAAATAGTTGGCTTTTACCGTGAAAGTAAAGAGGTGTATGTGGCGGGAAAACAGAGCTGGAAGTGTAGCTGACTTCTTCAAGGTCATGAAACAGAAAAAGAGCCATATCTTGATTTAAAAAAGAGAGAGAGAGAGAGGAGCAGAGACACTCATAAGAATATCCACCTTCTGTTTGATGCTTTGTACACAAAATCCCATGGGGTACTCATACCAGTCTATGAGGCGAGGTACAGCCCTCACTTCACAGAAAAGGAAACTAAGCTCACTGAGGCACAGAGCTGGGATGCAAACCCAAGTCTGTGATCCCGAAGTCTGTATGCTTTCCTCAGCGACACTCCAGCACCACACGTCTTGGAAACATGAGGGATGAATTCAGAGGTGGCATAATGAGAGAAGAGGTTCTGAAGAGAAAGAGGCTGGGAACAGGATCCAAGGAAGGCGTCCCCTCGGGAGGCAGGCAAGAGACAGGGAGCACGTCCAGGGGCAGCCACTGCTTTCCTTATGCTTGGTTTGCGACTGTGTTTTATTTTTGTTTTTGATTTTTCAAGTCACAAAGAGTCCCGCCTGCCCCAATACCGAGCAGTAACATAAATGAGTGAAAGGGTAGGGTGGGACTGAGGATAGCTGGAAGAGGCATGCCCTACCCAGGTCACTCCAAAAACTTGTTCCCTGTGGGAAGGTAGGCCCTTCTTAGCCAGACCTACTTGTTTGCAAAGAAACTGTATACTCAGAGTTTTTTATGAATCTCCTGATTTTAAGTTTTGGCCATTGAGTCAAACTTTAAAAAACATTTTGCCAAAAATAAAGGAGATCTGCCCTG